TTTTTTTTTTTTTAAACCTCAAATCCATGAGTGGCCACTTCTGAAGTGATAAAAATCTTACTCCTTGCCTTTGGTTTTTTTCCAGGCAATTGTAGCTTACAACACCTTAATTATCACGTCTCTGAAAACTGGTTAAAGATTTTAATACTTCCTTCCCTGGACCATTATACAGTAGACTTCTCAGCCCCATAAAATGTGCCTTCTGGAACCTGATCGCCTTGTGCTGCTGCATTTCCCTGCTTGATCCTTGCCCTGACAGTTCAAGTGCCTTCAGGTCCCCCCGTGCCTCTCCCCCCATTCCTCCCTGGCACCCTGGGCAGGTGGGAAGCGCCAGAGGCAGTGGTGGGGCTGCAGGCAGCCGTAGCAGATTTTCAGTTAGAATATGGGCTTTTTAATTTAACTCATATTACACAGCTAGCGAATACGTTGCATCATTTTAATCAGCCAGCACATCTGCAGAAGGTGCAAGTTTCCAGGAGCCTGAGCGCAAGAATGATGGTATAAATCACAGTGAAGGCAAATCCTTGACATCACCTTCATTTCTGAATTTGATCCTCTGATTTAGCAGCGCAACTCTGGCTTTCTGGCACCCGTTTTGCCTGGCTGTTTGCTATTTAATAGGTAGAAGGCTTGTCAGACATTTCTACGCACCCGACGTCCTGGTGTTTCAAAAATCCCTGTGGTGTTTTTTTTTTTTTTTTTTCCAAGAGGGTTGGATTAATCATGAATTTTGGCCCCAGTCTGCACAGGGCTGTCTCCCTGGAAAGGCTCTGCAGAGCCATTTGGGATACACGTGCTGTCTGGGTTCAGCCCACTGAGATTTCCTCTGTTTCATCCCAGAAAACAGTTGGGGGGGAAAATCTACCTGGTCCCATGGTGGCCATGCCTTTGGGATGAGTGAAGTTTATTCCCCACCGATTTTTATTTAGGTGAGTTTTAAATAACTCGAATGCTTCCCTGGGGGGAACCATCCCACAGCCAACCAAATTTCAGAACTAAGCAGTTTTTCCTGGTGTTCAGCCTAAATTCTCTTTTGCTCTGTTTCACTATAAAATTTCTCAGGTAATTTAAATATGAAGTGGCTGTGGAATACATTTTGGGATATAGATCATCATTTGATGAGTGTGTGATTGTGCATGGTAAGAAACTACAAGCCACGGCTGCTCGGGAGGAGGGGATGACAGTGAGCTGCTGGAGAACCACAGAGATTGGGGGTGATGCTGGGTCTTACCAAAGGGGGTACAATAACTCCTTTCTTGCCTTGTCCCTTTAGAATGAAGCAGGTGGGGGTCAATCCCCCAGATCACCCCCAGAAATTGCAATATCATTTTAAATTCTGCTTCAAGGGAGCTGAAAGAGGGAGGAGCTAGAAGCCAAGAGACCAAATTACACGTGTATGGACGGTGTGGGAAGGGGACAGTGCGATGTACTGCCAGGGGAAGCACTAAGGTGTGTGTGCATGCCACTCCTGGGCCCCAAAAATAGGAAGAATGAGGGAATTAAATGATGCCCTTCCTTCTCCCACAGCCTGCCCTGGGTTGTAGGCAAGGATTCTGGGGGAGCACCAGGTCTGCAGACTGCTGGCGACCCCTGCACCCCTCCCAGAATGGGAGCCTGGCACAGCATCACCCTCCTGGGTGCCAGAGAGGGAGCCTGCGTGGGAGCTGAGTCCCCTGAAACTTGTGACACCCGCAGGCGTTAAATATGTTGGGCAGCTCCCCCTGCTCAGGCCATCAAGGGCTTTTCTGTGGGAGTGGGGGCTGCGCGGGCCAAGTCCCCACATTGCCTCTCCTGCATCCAGAGCTGCATCCCACTGCGGCTGGGTCTGCTCCCCTGGGGAGCTGGTTCTGGCTGCGCTGCGTGTCTGGGTCCACTCAGCGGCTGGACTCCGGCCAGTGCTGCCAGTTTGTGTGCCCGGACTGGGTGTGCCCGGGCCGTGCACGCTCGCTCCGCGCACACTCGCTCCATGCACGCTCGCTCTCTGTACGGTCTCCACGCACACTTTCCATGCATGCTCCCTCTGTGCACGCTCGCTCTCTGTGCACGCTCCGTGCGCTCTCCCCGTGCACGCTCCCCTGCTCTCAGGGGAAGGTGCTGGGTGAGGCTGTGCCCATGGCTGGGTGCAGGGCGCAGGGTGCAGGGCGCAGGGATGCCCGTGCCAACGCTGGGAGCACACAGGAGAAGGAGAAGGGCAGAAAAAGGGAAGGGAGACGTGAACTCCCCTTGCTCCTTGGGCTGGCAGGCGGGCATGGGCAGCGCGTCAGCTTCCTGGTGACTTCTCTCCCTCATCCAGCTCCTGGTGAAAGCACAAGGGTTGCTCCCAAAGCTCAGGATTTTTGGAGGAAGGATGGGGTGCCACTGCCCCCCCTGCAACTGCCTCACAACTGCTTAGAGATCCTTGCCTCGGCCCTCCAGCATAGCAATCCCTTCCTGCTGGGGCTGGTGCCACTCCTGGCTGGAGCTCAGCCCACTTCCCTGGTGTCACTGGCACAGCTGAGGCTGGGAACCATTTTCCAATTAGTTTATTGGGGTTTTTTTTACCCAGAACCACCTGAGGAATTGCCCTGGCTTGACACCATTGATTTCCTTACCAGGGCTGGGTGGGAAAAGCAGGATTTTGTCCTTGTGTGACTTTGCTGGGCGGGCGTTCCCTGCCACAGGAACGACACCGGGAAGGACTGGGAAGGGTTTTACCGTTCTCCCAGGCCGATGCCCAACCCATCGAGGCTCACACAGCCACAAACGAGACCGCTCCCGGTGCCTTTCCCACCTTACAAGTGGTTGGTTTGGTGTCTGCTGGGCCGTTCCTACACGGGCAGAGGCAATAAACCGGGGCGTTGAGCCAGCACGCAGCCACCCGGCGTTCGAACCCCTGGTGAAGTGGCACCAGGGTCGCCTTCGGATGCTCGTTGGTGACTCTGCCTGCCCATGGCGCTTGCCTGGCTTGAACGCCAGTTTCCCTCACCCCTAGGATGCACCAGCGCCCAAACTGGTCTCCGCTGGTTCGAGGCAAGAGGGGGCTCCGATCCCAAAGCGATCCCGAAGTGATCCTGCCTCTTTCTCCCTCTGCCCATTGGGATGGTGTGAGCACAGGGGACACGTGGGGAGAGCATCCTCCTTCTGAGGGATTCCTGGGCGCTGGATCCCCACCTGAGCCTGTGCCGGGAGAGCCGGCATCGCCATGGCAACCAGTCGTGATGTCATTGGCAGAGATGATGGGGCAGGGATGGTGAGAATTGGGCAGGCAGCGGGCAGGGCAGGTACCACTTCTCAGCCACAGGACCCAGCCAGGCCAGGGCAGGTCACCCTCTCGATCCTCCCTCCAAAAAAGGAAAATAATATTTTTTTAATCTTTTTTTTTTTTTTTCCCATTTTTCTTTCTCCTTTAGTCTTTTCACCTCTTTTGAATCAGGATGTCACCGCAAGAGCGCCAGCCCCCGCTGCATGCCTGTGCCGGGGGGAGCCACCGCACCGCTGCGCCTCAGCAACGCGCTGCACCCCACGTGGGGATTTTATTTTAAAATGCAGAAACTGAATAAATCTCCACCCCAATTTGATGGCAGGGTTTTGTCACATAAAGTGCTGGAGAAGAAATGCGGAAATAGATAAATAAAAAAAAGTAGCAGAGAGAAATGTGTCTCAGGGTTGCAAAATGAGGGTGTAGAACATTTTCTTAGTTGATAGTGAACTGACTCCAGAAGTGGTTTTTTTTTTTTAATTTTTGTAATAGAAAGTGAACCAACTAGAGTTTTAAAAAAATTTTCGTAATAAAAAACTGACGTGGGGTTTTTTTGGGGGTTGTTTTGTTGTTTTTTTTTCTTTCTATTATATTTAATAGAAAGCAAACTGACTCTGGAGGCTTTTTTCAGTTTTCTTGATAGAAACTGAACTGACTCCAAAGGGGTTTTTTAAAATTTTTGTAATAGAAGGCAAACTGAATCGAGGTTTAATTTATATTTTCTTAATAGAAAGAGGACAGACTCTGGAGTTTTTTTGTTTACTTTTGTAATAGAAAGCAAAGTGACTCGAGAGTTGTTTATTTTAAAATTTTCTTAATACAAATTAAACTGACTCTAAAGGTTTAGGGTTTTTAATTTTTGTAATATAGAGCAAATTGACATGAGGGTTGGGTTTTTTTTTTGTTTTTGGTGGGTTTTTAAAAATTTTCTTAATAAAGGGTGAACTGACTCTGGAGGGTTTTTTTTTTAAAAAAAAAAAAATAATAGAAATTGAACTAACTCCAGAGGCGCTTTTTATTATTTTCGTAACAGAAAGCAAACTGACTCCAGAGGTTTTTAAAAAAAATTCTTAATAGAAAGCAAACTGATTCTGGAATTTGCTTTCTTTTCCCCCAAACCCCAAAGACTCCAGAAGACCTCAAAAAACCCTCCCCAAAAGTTAAAAAATCCTCCAAAAACCTCCGATTAATAAAAAAAAAATTAAAACAACGCCAAAAAACCTAAAAACCTCCGAAAAACTCCCCAAAAAGTAAAAAAAAAAAACCCAACCTTTCAAAAAAACTCAAGAAAACTTGAAAAAACCTCCCAGGAAAGGTGCATTTATTTAGTATTTCGGGTTATCTCTGCCCTCTCCGGAGCCGCCCCGCCCCCAGCACCGGCCCCCCCGGCGCGTGCCCCCCGCGCAGCTCAGGCAGGGGCGGGGCCACCAGCGTCCGCTGGGGGGCGCTGTTGGATAGCGGCTGAATGCCGGGGAAGGCGGGGGGGGGGGGGGGGGGGGGGCGGGCCATCCCGGGGGCCCCGGCGCCCCGACAGCCCGTCCCCATCCCCATCCCCGCCTTCCCCGGTCACCGCTGGTGGAGGTGGGGGGGGGGTGGGAATAAAATGGGAGTGTGTGTGGGGGTGGGTGTGTGTGTGTGGGGTGAAAAAGGTACGCGCGCCCTTTAAGAAGCGAGAGTGGGCGTGTCCTCTCACCTCAAGGCCCCCCCCGCGCTACCCCGCCATTGGTTGCCCCGCTTAGGGCTGCCCGTGGCGCTGCCTGCGCGGAGGAGTAGAGCGCTGGTCGCGGCGGGCGGCGCCGCTGTGCGGGAGGGGACGGCGGCGGCGGCGGCGGCGGCGGCGGGACGGGAGCCGGAGGAAGGCGGCGGGGAAGCGGTATGGGCGCCTGACGCCCGTCCCGTCCCGCCGCCGAGGGACGATGGCGCGGCCCCGCGGCGGGCGGTGGTTGCTGGGCGTCCTCCTCGCCCTGTGCCGCTTGGCCGCGCCGCTCGCCAAGAGCTTGGAGCCGGTCTCCTGGAGCGCCGGTAACCCCAAGTACGTGCGGCGGAGGGGCGCGGGGGAGCGGGGTCGGGGAGGGGGGGAGCCCGCCTCACATTCCCCCCCCCCCCCGCCCCTCCCGGAAAAAAAAAAAAAAGAAAAAAATCACTTAAACCAGGGGAAATTGGAAAAAAAAAATGTTAAACAAAACCGCAGGATTTTTAAGGAAAAAATTCCCTCCCCGGGAAGCGGAGCGGGCACCGCGAAGAGCGGCTGGAGGCTGCGGTCGACGGACGGAGAGGAGCGACCCCCGGCTGGAGTACGGACCCTCGCCGAGCCCCGAGCTGCTCCGGGGCGCGCTTGGCTGCTGCGGGCTTTCACCTTTTTTTTTTTGTTGTTTTTTTTTTTTTTTTCCAAAATGTAATTTTGATTTTTTTTTTCCTGATTTTTAAAAATTCTTTTGTTTTTTAAAGGTTTTCTTCTCTTTAAATTGACTTTTGATGTTTCAAAATGTGCTTTATCTCTAACGATTTTTACCTTTTTTCTTTTTTTTTTTTTTTTTTTTTTTTCCCCGGGATTTGGGGAGGCTCCGCGGGCGCCGCCGCCCCTCTCCCGGCCGCGCTCGGGAGGGTGCCGAGGGGGCCGCCGCCGGGCCGGATCGCCGCTCCCTTCTACCACGCCGACGCTAGAGTTGGATTTATTATATATTTTTTTTTTCTTCTTCTTTCTGGGTTTTCTCTTCTAAAAGCAGGCCGCGGTGGGGGTCGGCCGGCGGCGGGACCCCCCCGGGTCCGGCGGTGAGAGCCGGGGCGGGCCGGGTCCGAACAAAGCCAGCGGCGGGGCTCCTCCACAGCCCTGCCTCGGCTATATATACAGCTAAATTATATATATACATATGTGTGTTGTATGTATGCGTACGTGTCTCTGCCCCGGCTGAGGTGCAGGAACAATGAGAAGGAGCTTTTCCAGCGCATTGGGATGAAGGGCGAGGAGGAGGAGGAGGAGTGGAAGGTGCTCGGCACAGCTGATGGTGGTGTCAGGATGGTTTTGGTAGCCCACTAGCTGGGCTTTATCTTGTAGATCACAGAGTGTTTGTTGATCTTAGCCCCTTCTTGGTTTAAAAAAAACAAAACAAAACAAAAAAATCTTGCTTTTAGCCTGATGTTTTTTTTTCCCATCCACATTTCTCAAAAAAAAAAAGAAAAACAAAAAACAAAAAACCAAAAAAAAAAAACCAAACCCAAAAACCAAACGAGATTTTGAGGGTTGGAGAGAACCGAAGCAATTTGGACAACCTTCCCGCTTGGACACTTCCATTCCAACCAAACATTTTTTTTTTTTTTTTTTTTTTTTTTTTTGTGGAGGGGAAAAAAGCAACTTTTCAGGCAGATGTGTGTGCACACACGCTCTCAAGCTCCAGTCCAGCATGTTGGAAACGCTGGGACGAGGGCTGCGGCGGCTGCGAGGGTTCCCGTAAGTTAAATCTCCTCCTTGGTGTGGTTCCTCTTTCCTTCCTTTCGGAGAAGTGTCCGTTGGCTGGGAGCAGCGCGAGCTGTGACCCGCGGGATTTGCTCCGTTGTGTTGTGAGCCTGCCATGTCGGCGAGGCGAAGGCAAATCGGTTCCAGAAAACACCTTTTTAGTTGAAAAAGCGCGGCCGGAGGTGGAGATGGCTTTGGCTCGGTGGTGTCGGGGGACGCCATGTCGCCCTGGTCCGCGTTATTAGTGTTGGCTTTTATTGAATTGCCGTGGCCCGGGAAGTTGGGAGGGGGGGGTGGCAGGGGGGTGGCAGGCTGTGGGGGTGTCCACCATCTTCCCCATCTGCTGGGGGGGCTGCTGGTGCCAAGCCCCGGGGGTGTCCCTCCCCAGTGGGGTGTTTGGGGGTAGCCTGAGGTGTTTCTTGGTTCTCTCCCAGTTTGAAGCCCGGTGGTTGTCTGCCCTCCGTGCAGGTTTCTGGTTGTGTCCCGTCCCGCGTGGGGACCGCTCCCGTGAATGTCTGGCATGGGGCAGGGGCTCAGGGGGCAGCGCTGGTGTTTCACTGGTCCTGAGTCCCCACAGGGACTGGAGAAGGTGGGATGTGCTTAAAATGTCGGTGTTCCTACCCAGAAACAGCTCTGCGGGGGAGGAATCCCAGCGATGGGGCAGGAGCTGTGGTTGGGGTTTGCCATGGTGGGGGCTGTGGGTGCCCGGCTGTGCTCCCACTCGTGTCCCGTCAGCCTGTGCCCATGCAGCCTGACCCTGGCCCCTCGTCTTTGGGGTCTATCTTCGGGGTCCCTCGCTTTCTTTTATCCCTTAATGCCTATGATTTGTACAGGTTGCATGGCGTGGGGCAGAGCCTCTCCACAGCCGCTCCTACCTGCCAACGCAGTTGAGCAAACCAGTCTGGGGAACCGCCTGCTGTACAAAGTGTGGTTCCAGTTCGAGGAAAAGCCGTGCTCTTTGTTAGACTGGGCTTTACTCCTGGATGGATGAACTACAATCCTCCACGCGTGCTTGCTGCCATACTCTGGGCTTTCCAGCCCCTTCCTTCGGTGCTCTGTGGGCAATGCCGTGTCTGTGCCAGCCCTCTGCCCCACTCTGCCGAGCTTAAACTCTTGTTTTTAGAGTAAAGAGAGCTAAAGCCTTTAAAAATAACATCGCTAAGTGGAATTTTCCAACAGATAGAAGGAGAAAGTGGTGTGCGTTGGGCCATCTGGCCTTGGTGGTATCGCTGTAAATAATGAAAATATTTTTCTGCCCTTTCGTCCCCTGGGCAGCTCAGGTCTGCGCTTACAAAGTGTGGGTTTATAACTTCACCGGGGCGTCACCGGCAGGTTCCTGATCTTGTGGTGTTTATCAGGGGGGACGCTGATAACACATTCGATAGAAGGAATGATTTCCTAATCAAGTTAAGACTAGCTTAAGCTGTAGCACTGTATGTCGCATTGGGGAAGCGTTTCCCTTCTGCTCCTAGTTGTGTGTTTCAAAACCCAGCAGTGAAATCGTCGCCGTCTTCTTATTGTGAATAATTCGGTGTCTTTAAAGAGGAAAAAATAGGCATAGAAATGCTTTCACTGGATAAAAGGTGATAGGTGTCGCCGACCCGTGCTTGGGACCAAGCACGGGCTGAATTAGATCCCCTCTGAGTGAGTTTTCCCTGGGATGTCTGTAGAGCCCCTTGGAAAGGGGTCTTGGGGAGCCAATATGGTTTTAATTTTATTCCATCGTGTCCAAAGGGGGTTTAATGGGGGGGCGAGAGAGTGCTTTTGGGATTTAATCGGCCCTTTTGCTGCTCAGCCAGGGGGTTGGTGGGAGCGTGCTCTTGTTGGACAGCCGGGAATTGCAGGAGAAATTCTGGCTAAATCCTTTTTGAACTCCCCTGTCTGTAATTTTGGAGAAATATTGACCCTGGTGGGCTCCTGTGCCGACTGTTAAAAGGAAGCATTCCTAATAAAATATGGTTTGGAAAATTCATTTCAGGCTGGAATTCGCCTCTCCAGAAAGTATTTTAATAAGGAGGTGGGGGAAATGGGACACATCATCCGTGCAGCTCTGAAGAACGGGTCCTTTCGGCTCTGCTTTTCTCTCTTTCCCTTATATAAAGTTTTACTCTGCTCCACTCACTTGCTAGCTCTGTGGAGCAACCCAGCAACTTTCTAAAAATAAAATGAATGCATTTATTATTTTTTTTTTTTTAAAGGTGGGGGAAAGGGAGAAAAAAAAACCCCAGACAAAAGTCTAATCCTTTGCGGTATTTTTATTCTGTCTTTAATGACATTATGGTGTCCCATTGAATTCTCTAAGCACTGAGTTTGAAGCCTGGCGTATCTTTGCCTTTTTTAATGCCTTTTACGAGGGACAAAGTACTTGTGGGAAGGCTGTTTCCGAGAGGAATGGCTGGCCTGGAGCTCTGCATCGGTGGGCTCACACTTGTCGGAGCAGATGTAATTTAATTACCATACCAGTGGGCGCATGAGGTGCTTTGCAGTATAAGGAGTTGGGAAATACTGAAAACATGCAGCTTATTTTTAATTAAAAGCTGTGTTTGGCTTGTGGAGCCTTCAGAGACTCCCTCTTCCCCGGGGAATGTGTGGGGCTGAAAGGTGGGAGCTCTCTCCAGGAGTGGGGGGCATGGATGGTCCCATGTGGGATCTGATGGCCTTGGGGCTTTGCTTAATTTCCAAAGGCTGGTTTGGGTTAAGAGCCTGGACAGTCTGTATCCGGGTTGGAGTTTCACTCTGGCATGGAGGAGCCCTTTCTAAGTGTGCTGGGAGGGTGCTGGCGGGACCCTGTGGGTGCCAGGCAGCCGAGTGCCCTCCCAGCATTGCAGGCTCTTGCTTTCACTCCCCTCAAAGCAGAAACCCACATGCCTGGCCCATGTTGCAGCGGTGAGGTTACCTTTCTTGCTGTGCCTGGGGGAAAGGAGCACCCAGGGCTCCTTGCGTGTCGTTTGGGAATGACTTCATTAACTTAAATTAAAAAAAAAAAAAAAAAAAAGTGAAGGCAATGCTGCGGCTATTGCAGTAGCTGGGTAAATATCACTGGATTCTATAAAATGGATTTAACTGCTTCCTTTAAAAGAAAAAAAGAGCCGTGATGGGGTGGCTGATTGATTGTAAAAGGAGCCATAGCTTTCTCCAGAGCAAAACAGCTGCTGCAGCTCCTCGGGGCCGCATGGCAGTGGGGACGGGCCGGGGCTTTTGTGGCATTTCTGACGGTGGAGGGCTGGGGGGGGAGCTGGCGGGAGGCGGCTTCCTTCCTCCCCCACTGCACCTGAGCCACTTCATCACTTTTGGGTTTTGAAGCTGCTTCTTAGATGCTGGTCCCAAACAGGTTGCATGCAGCAGGGTGGGATGTGATCTCACACGGCCCGGGCCCTGGCCGGGTGAGCAGGGGTCGGTCCGTCCGTCTGTGTCCAGTGTCCCGTCCCCCCAACCCCAGCAGCTTCACTGGGAACGCAGGGGTCCCCCCGAGCCCTGCGTGTGTTCGTACAGGTCATGGCGACTGCAAAGAGCCGCGGTGCACACGCAGTCCCTTGCACAACACGCGTCGGGAGGCATTTGGGTTGTCCCCTGGAAGC